GTTCCAGGATTTGGGGGGGCCCCTAAAATTTTGGGGGGGGTTGTCAGGGACAACGTTGTCACCTCCAGCAGGGTCTCCTCCTCCTCCTCCTCCCCGGTGAGGCTGCCCTCAATGAAGTCGACCTGCTCGGGGTCACTGTCACCAGCTGGGGGGCGGGGGGGGTGCGGGGTGTGATAGGGGTCCCCGAGGGGTGACATCAGCCTCGGGGGGGGGTGACAGGGGTCCCCACCCTTCTCACCTGCACCGCTGCGCTTCTCCCTGGGCTGCCGGGGCAGCTCCGAAAACTCATCCGTGGACTGAAATGGTGGAAAAGGGGGTTCAAGGTGGAAGGGGGGTTGATTTAGGGTGGGGGGGCACCCAAAAACCCACCCATGTCCCCCCCACACCCCAAAACCCACCTCGTTGCCAGACCACCGCTTGCTGCCGCTGTCAACGCTGTTGAAGCCGGAGTCCAACCCCCCACGCTGTCGGAGGGGGCAGAGCTCATCTGTGAGGCTGGGGGGGGAGGTAAAAAAACAAGGGTGGGGGGACCCCAAAAAACACCAGGGGAGGGAATTTGCTCCCCCCTCATCTTTGAGATCCCCTTTACCATGTTGGCGGGGGGCGCGTGGCGGCGGCAGCCTCGGCTTTGAGGTGGAGGTACTTGAAGATGTGGACTTTGCCCTTCAGGCACACCTGCGGGGGGAGGTCAGATGGGGTTCTGGGGGGTCCTGGGGTCCCCCCCGACCCCCCCGGACCCCTTCTGACCTGGGCAGGGGGCGACTGGAGGGGGTTGTTGTCGGCCAGGATGATTTGAAGGTGCCGGAGACGCCAGTAGCAGCAGGGAATGGCGACCACCCGGTTGCAGGAGAAGTCGAGACGGACGAGGGGCAGCTCCGACAGCTCTGGGGGGGACACACATGACAGGGACATGAGAGCGTCAATGGGGACTCCCCCAAAATGGAGGATTCCCCCCCCCCCCGAAGTCCCCCACTCACCTGTGGGCAGCACGGTGAGCTGGTTACGGCGGAGGTTGAGATCCCGCAGCGACTTCAGCTGCCCCACGCTGGCGGGCAGTGCCCGCAGCTCGTTACAGCTGACATCCTGGGGACACACACAGATGAGTGGGTTAATGAAGCAAGGTGACAAAAAGGGGGGGGTGGTCCTGGTGTCATCACCCTCCCCAGCATCGTGCTCACCAGCTGCCGGAGGGCACCGAGCGCCCCGATGTTTTCGGGGAGCTGTGCCAGGCGGTTGTTGCTGGCGTTGAGGACGCGGAGGGGCAGGAGACAGAGGCAGGCGGGCAGCGAGGTCAGCTGATTGCGACTGCAGGCAGGGAGCGGCCAGGGGTTAAACGAGGAGGAGGGGGGGTTGCTGCTGGAGCCTCCCCCCCGCCCCAGGGAGGGCCAGTACCTGAGGTCGAGGTGGGTGAGGGCCTGGAGGTTGGCGATGGCGGGGGAGACGCTGCGCAGGCAGTTGTGGTAGAGGCTGAGCCCCTCCAGGGAGACGAGGTGGCAGGCGGCCTCTGGCACCTCCCCAAAACGGTTGCGGGAGAGGTCTGTGGGGAAGGGGACGTGTGGGGACAGGGGACACTTGGGGACAGCGGACCCTTGGGGATGGGGAGCAAGAGGGGCAGGGGACTCTCAAGGATGGGGACCAATGGGGACAGAGACTATCAGGGACAGGGACCGATGGGGATGGAGGACAGAAGACCCCCAGGGACAGGGACCAGTGGGGACCCTCAGGGACCACTGAGGACAAGGGATGGGGACAGGGGAGAGAGAGCCTCAAGAATGAGGACAGGGACAATTAGGGACCCTCAGGGACAGGGAACATCAACCATCACAAACAGAGACTGGACACCACAGGGGACAAGGATGCCCCAAACCACTGGGGACAGATGCCACCAGGGAGAGGGGACACTCCACAGCCCTGCTCCCTCCCTGCTGCCATGGAGGGGTTTCAGCTTGGGGCAGGGGGACACACCCCAGCTGCTCTGGGGTCCCCGTGGGAGAGAGCCCCCCCCCCCCCCCCCCCCGGGTGACCCTAGAGCGTCCCTAACCAGATGTTAACAAGCTGCTAATGAGGGGCACCCTGACCCACCCCCCCTCCCCTGAGAAGGGGCTGAAGTCAGGGGGGTGGGGGTCAAGCCCTTAGCCCCCCTTTTTAGGGCTGTTTTGGGGGGTGGGGTGGCTGATGGCACCCCAACCGCCCCGGAAGGGGAAATCAAAGGGGAAGCAAGAGCAGCGGACGGCTCCCCACACCCTCCCCCTGCCTTGAAGGAGGGGGCGACAGGGCTAGTGACCCCCCTGCCCCCCCTTTACGCTGGGAGGGGGAAACTGAGGCAGGCAGGACCGCCCGGACCAGGCGTGCCGGCTCTTCCCGCCCTGGCACCTTGTTTATCTGGCCTCTGGCCTCCCGGCGCGTTCGGCAAACCTTTGGCTTCCGGGGAGGCGTCGAGGCTTTCCCTCGGGGCGGGGGGGGAAACCCCGCGCTACCCCCGTGGAGGTGGGGGGCGGTTTAGGGCTCCCAGCCCCCTCCAAAAGGCCGGATTCGGCCCAAGAGGCCGAGGGCCCCACAGGGGCTGATGGAGGGGACACACACAGAGCCCTGGGCCCCCCCTGTGCACCTGCCTGAGGAGGCCGGAGGGGGAGGGGGTGGAGCTGGGCCCGGCCTGGGGGGCAGGAGGCACCGGGGACCCCCAGGAAGGGGGCGGGGGAGGGCTGAGGGGTCGCTACAGCCCGGGGACGGGGGAGACGGGACCCCCAGGAGGGGCGTGGCCAGGGTTGCCCCGGGGGCGTGGCTAGGGAAGGGGCGTGGCCTCACCGGCCTGCGTGGTGTCGCTGAGGTCCCACCGCCGCGCCGCAGCCACCGGGAAGGCGCGCAGGCGGCGGCCGGCCAGGCTGAGGGTACCGGAGGCCGCTGCTTCTTCTAGAGCCCGTTCCGTACCGGTTCCTCCGGGAGGCGGCGATGGCGGTAACGGCGGTGGCGGCAGCAACAGTTCCGCCGTCATGGTTCCCGCCTCGCCCGCCGCCATCGCGGGGCCCCAGCGGCGGAAGAGCTCCGCTCCGCGCGGCCGCCGCTGCTCAACTGAGCGGCCGGCTGCTGCCGCGCGGGGAGGCGGCCCCCTCGCGGGGGCGGGGCCAGCGCCGAGGCCAATCAGAGAGAGAGGGGCGCGGAGTGCAGGCCAACCGGAGAGGGAGGAGGAGGAGTGGGCGTGACCGAGGGGGGGTTAAAAAAGGCGGAAGAAAGGTTTATTCTTTGACGGGTAGGGGGAAGGACCAATCGACTTCGAGAGGGGGCGGGATTGCTGCCCGGTCGCAGCCAATCCCAGCGTTAGAAACTCGAAAGCAGAGGGTTACCAATCGCGACGAGAAGGTGGAGCTAGTCGCCTGGCAACGTCCGCCCAGAAGTCTGTGGGGAGTCAGTGGACCAATCGTATTTGAGGAGGCGAGAGGAAAGCACGTGATTGATATGGAACCAACCAATCAAGCTTCGAGGCCTGCAGGGAAAGGTGGCAAGAGTCGGAAAAGATGGGAGCGTGCGGGGGCGGGGCATACCACCAATCACACCTGGCGGGAGAGCAGCACACAGATGATTGACAAGCTGTCTAACCCATGGGAGGAGCAAGGCAGCCAAAATCCCAGGCAGCCAATCAGAGGAAACATCACCTCAGCAAAAGTTGGGCGGGGGTGACCGCTCAGGCAGCCAATCAGAGAGAGCATCCCCTCAGGGGAGGGCAGGCACTGCACCAGGGCACAGTGACAGCCCAGGTGGCCAATCAGAGAGTGCATCACCTCAAGGAAGGGTGGGCACCGCACCTGGGCTCCCTGACCACCTGGGGGCCAATCAGAGACAACATCCCCTCAGGGGAGGGCAGGCACTGCACCAGGGCACAGTGACAGCCCAGGCAGCCAATCAGAGGCAGCATCAGCTCAGGTGAACTGCACCTGGACTGCCTGACCACCTGGCAGCCAATCAAAGACAGTATCACCTGAGGGGAGGGTGGGCCCCAAACCTGGGCAGAGTGACACCCCAGGCAGCCAATCAGAAGTCACCATCTTGGGTGAAGGGTGGGCACTGCAGCAAATCAGCCTGACCAGCTGGGGACCAATCAGAGACAACATCCCCTCAGGGGAGGGCGGGCACTACACCAGGGAGAGTGAAAGCCTAGATGGCCAATCAGAGACAGCATGACCTCAGGGGAAGGAGACTGACAGCTCTCCTGACCTATGCTGGTGAAGACTGATGTAAGAAGAAGGCGGGCTCTGCCGGCGGCCAGGCCGAGCTTCGAGATGGTGCACGTGGGGGCTGCCCCCGAGGCCCAGCAGCCTCCAGCCCCTCTTCCCCCCTCGGGGCCACCAGGCTTCTTGCCACTGGCATCCAACTGACGGGGACCAGGGCATGATAGTGAGGCCGCCGGGATGGCAGGGGGGTGGAGGAAGATGGAGGGGGTCCCTGTCCTCCCCCCCCTCATCCCCCCCCATCCCCACCCCCTGCGTCCCCACTCAGTCACATCCAGCAGGTGCACCGCAGTGAAACCAGGGGACACTGGGGACTGCACCAGCCCCGAGGGGATCCCCCAGGCAGTCCCTCCCCCCTCTGCCCCCCTCCCCTTCCACAGCGGCCTCAGCTCCTACCGCCACAGCCTCTTCCTCTGCTGCGGCCTCACTCTGCCAGTAGCCACGCCCTTTCCCCGCCTTCCCTGCTGGAGACTATGCCCCTTTCTCTGCCTATCAACTGGAGGCCACGCCCCCCCGCCCCTCTGGCAGAGGCCACGCCCTTTTCTCCACCTCCCCGTCGGAGACCACGCCCATTTCACTGCCTATCAACTGGTGTCCACGCCCCTTTCCCCGCCTCTCCGCTGGAGGCCACGCCCCACCATCCCGTACATCTTCAGCGGGAGACCACGCCCCCTACGCCCCCCCGCCCCTCTGTCGGAGGCCACGCCCCCCCGCGCACTCAGCCCGAGTCCACCCGCCCGTCTCCGTCTGCCAGCAGGCTCCGCCCCAACCCTCAAACCCCGCCCCCTTGGCCGTTCTTAAAAGGAGCCTCACCGAGGGCTTTAAAGGGGGGAGGGGCGGGGGGTGACAGCGGGCAGTCCGGCCGCTGGGGTCCCCCCCATGGGGCCCCCCCCCGGGGGGGGGGGACCCCCTCTGTGTCGTGTCCCCCCCCTCAGAGAGGGAGGGGCGGTGGAGGGGGAAGGGAGGGGGCTCTCATCCACCCGGTGACGTGGCAGTGGGGATGGGGGGGTCATCACTCACGCCCTCCGGCTCTGCGCCCTTTATTTGCATATGGGGGGGAAATTTGGGGCGGGGGGGGGAGGTCTCAGGGGTTCCCCCGACATGGCCTCTTGCTCAGGTTCCCCAAAACCTGCTGCTGCTGCTGGCGGTAGGGGACGACGAAGGCCTCGGGGGGCAGCACAGCCCCCCCATCCGCCCCCACCCGCCCCATCAGGATGTAGCTTGACCCTGGAAAAGATTTGGGGGGGGGGGGGTGTCAGGATATGGAGGGGGCACAGAGGCACCCCCCCCCTTCCCATTGTGCACCCACCTTTCTTGAGGCCGGGGCAGAGGCGACAGGGCAGCTGGAGGCGCAGGGTGGCCCCCTTGGCTGGTTGGGGTACCTCCAGACCCCCCGACTTGTAGAGGCCCAAGATGGAGACCACGGCCCAGCCCTGCTCCTGGGGGGGGCCCCGCGACACCGACTTCACCGTCCCGGTCAGCACTGCCGGCACAGGGTGGGGGTGGGGGGTTCAGACACCCCAAAACCTCGGCCATACCCCATACTCCGGCTTTGGGGGGTCCTCAGCCATCCCCCCATCCCCATCTCACCCATTTTGGGGGGTCCTCAGCCTCCCCCACCCCATACCCCAGGGTTTTTTTTGGGGGGGGGGGGGGAGGGCAGCGGAGTGTCCTCACCGAAGTCACTGCTGCAGAAGTTGCTCTGCAGCGTCCCGGCACGCCGGCATCGCTGCGGACAGGGGGTCGCGGTGACGGTGGCGACGGTGGCAGTTGGTGTCACCGTCTTAGGGCCGGGGGGGACTTTCCCCTTCCCACCCCCCTTGGATTTGGGATTTGCCGGATCGGTGCCGGGGTCCGGTGCCTGATCCCGGTTCCTGATGGTGTAGGTGGCGGCGAAGCCATCGGCCGTCACGCTCAGGTCCGAGACGAATTGAACCAGCAGCTCGTGACCGGAGGAGAGGATGGGGCTGGGGGGG